CAGCGGCGTGTTGCATAAATGATGACTTTTTTCATGTCAAAGATTTTCCTTATGTAATTCACAATAGAGAAAAAAACATTGCCATTTGATTGTGGATAGAGAGGATGATAAAAGGGTAGAATTGAGAGAGCAAGAATTTCGTGCACGACCAAAATACGAACAGGAGTGACACGAGCGAATGAAAGATGAAAAGATGAGACGTTGGAAAGTGATTTACTGCCTCGATGACATAAGTTTTCTCGTGCCATACGTGTGATTCTGTGTGGTGGATGGGGAGAGAGAGCGCCAGGGGGAAGTGTGAGATGAAAATCGCCTTTTTTTTAGCATGGAAAAATACACATAAAAGATAATGAAAGATTCAAGTCGTTTTTCATATCCGCCGCTTGACCTTTTTCTTTTTGTCAGTGATTTGCTGCTTTTTTCTTTTGATCATTTGAAGAAGAAATGTTCTTTGCTCTTGTCTTTGCTTGTCTTTGACTAAATATTTGGATACTTTCAATGTGAATTGCTTAGGCTGAATATCAAAAATCAACTGTCACATTTCGCCATCGTTTTTCTGTCGCTCTGGCGATTTAATAGAAATTGAGCGTGGGCAGACGCTTACCTTATCGGCTGCTTAATTTTTTTCAGTCACCGATGTGTGTTCAATTGAGCAAATAGAGTGCACTTTTTCCTATGGCGGCAGGAAAACATTTAGCTGGCGGATCACGTGATGTCTGGAGTCTTTTTTTAACACATTTTTTCCTCCACACATCTTCCTTCTATAACAGCAAATGTTTGAATTGTAAGCCGCGCATACAAACAATGTTATATTTCTGGCTGGATGAGATAAAGTTTTGGGTGGTGTATCAACAAAGAATATTTATCAAAATACTTTTTATCGAGGCGCATTGTGATGGAGTCCGCTGCCTCTCCGCGACTCCGCGTCCACAGACACACAGTCAATGGTTTCTTGGGCCACTCGACTGGAGTGACATTAACCTTGTGCGTCGTTTGGCTATTGCAAAATATACACAGTCAGATTGCGCTCTCCCTCTTGCTTTCGCCTCTTTATTCCACTTTCATGCCGAAGGTGTTCAAGTGACGAATTGATGTGGCGTGCAAGTTGGATTTGTCGAGAATGTCAATGCAAATGTTTGGGGTGCAAGAAGTGAGGAGTCCGCGCGAAAATGATTGAGGCGATGAAATTTGGCAATTTGGCAATATATTTGCATACACGTCAACCCTGCAACCTTGACTTGAGCCAAGTGGGGGCCCCCTGAGTGCGCTCCTGGCTGTGTAAAGCTCCGCTCATCTTCTCTTTCTCTTATGTACTGCTGCATGAGTCAAGGACGCGCAGTGCCCCCGACTCTATTTTATTTACATCGCCACAGAAGCAGCTTCATCATCGTCACTATTTTATGTACTTTCTGTGCTTTTTCCACCATAATTATTTATTTGCCATTACATAAGTGAGACTCCACACACATTTGGTGATGATCAAATCTCTCCATGTGATTGTGCACATGGCTCAGTGTACAATTTTAACATTTCGCCGCGTATTTTTACGTGAGTACGTGAAACACTTAATTACCTCTGGCTGAGCTGTGGCAGTGGAAAGTAAATAGAGCTCCGGATGGACAGGAAAGGGAGAGACGAGAGAGAAAATGAATTATCGTTCTGCTCTACTATTATTATCATTATCATTTGGAATTAAAAGTTGGGGCGCACGAGAGTGAAGAATATAAGGTCTGTGAACATGGCCGAGAAAGATGAGGATGGCGAGCGTGGAAAGAAGTGGAGAAAACAATACAAAAGCAAGAGTTGAGAACACGAACTTGGGATTCTAGTGAGAGAGAGGTATACAATAGTGCAGAGAGAGAAAAGAAGAAGTTCCATGTGATAAAAATAGTTGAGAATATACACAATTCCATGTACCGAAGTTGATCTCATGCTTGGCTGAATCTCGTCTGTCTTGTTTATTCCCTGGTCCCTGTCGTTCTTCAAGACTTCACCCTAACCCTTTTGCTTATACATAAAGAGTGTTCTCGAGAAATGTTTTTGTACTCAGAATAATGTGAAAACAGACTTTTTTTTGCATTCGAGAAAGGATACAAGGTCAGATTCTGGTAATGAAATGAATATTAAACTTGCGCATAAATCAAAAGATGAGTCACTTGTTGTGGATTGAAAGTTATCAATTGAATGGAAAATGTCATTATCATAATTTTACTTTGCGGCTTCAGATGAATGATTTATTTGACGACGTGTCTCTATCAATTGAAGGATCTTGTGTGAAAATACAGTACAATAGCCTATCAAGTGTCAATCAGGGAAGTGTGTGTGTGTGTGAGGAAGGCTTTGGGCTGTTCTGCAATTAGTCTAAATGGAATTGATGTTGAATAGGTAAAATTAGATGCTTAATTCATGAATTTCCAGTGTTAATTCTCGGGCTGAATATAGGCAGACATCCGAAAACTTAAACTGTCGAGTTGTCTCTCGGCATAGGAGAGATTCTCATGGACAGGGAAGAGAAATAGTTAACCCCTTCACCACCTCCGGTCACGATCGGCAGAACAAGAGCCAGCGGATTGCTTGGGAGAGAGAAGTTGACTGGAAATGTAGTGAGAAAATTAAGAGAAGTGGGAAAAAACTTAAGGCACTCATTAAAGTGTTTTTCGGTGTATGGGTGGATTTGAAAGTTGTTTGTGGCAGAACCAGAATCAGAACCGGCGCCGTGGAATGTGGCTTGTATCTCTGGCCGGGAGTGTGTGCAGTGTGTGGCACACCGCTGTTGGGGCAGATCTCTCGCGGGGAGATCATATCGTGTCACTGTCATTGTCGTATGACGCATTTTCTACACAGGTTTGCAGCCAATATCTCCTTGTAGTCTTGCTGTGCAAGAAAAGTCTCTTTTTTTGCCAACTCTCACGCGAGACTTGGAGTGAAAAGAAAAAGTGTGGAGAGAAAGACGTTCATTTACCTGCAAAATTATAATGTACTATTTCTTGCTAATATCTCACGTTCAAATGAAATTTAATTAATCCTCATTACATGCATACGCACTCCATTTTTTCGCGCCTCCAACAGGTGCAAGTACGTGATGTCTGATTTTCTCTGTGCAAACCAATTTCACGAGCGTGGAAATTGATTTTTATCATATTTGCACAATATCTTCGCCATCTCACTGTCATTTTGTGATTAGAGAGAGGATGGCGCGAAGCGCGAGAGAAGAAGAAATGGGGAGAGATCGCGAATTATGCCGAGAAATGATAATGATGAAGCCGCTGCTGGCGTTGCAAGCCAAGTAGATATAATTTTGTATGACAGACAGAGAGATACACTTGTCTCGGCGTACATTCCAATAATGCGAAAAAACTGGAATACAAAGTATCGCCTTTGTATTGGCTGGAACATGATATAAATTCTCCCAGTGAGAGGCAATTTATTGGAGAGTCTTGTTGGTATATTTAATGTCTTTTTTGCTCTTCACATACTGGCTCTCAAATGAAATCCACATGAAAGCGAACTTTTCGTTCTACATCAATGAATTAAATTGTATTATTTCTCTGGTGCATCGCATGCAATGCAACCTTTTTTCTGTGTTTCAAGGCACACACACGATTCTCATAATGTGTGGATGTAAGACAATAAGAGCATTATTTTTTTATGAACAATTGTAGCAGCTATTAATGAGTAATTTTCCCTATGACTGAATTTTAGTGATATTTAAGAAGCTCAATCAACATTTCCATTAATTGCAATTCCAACTGGTTACACACACTCGATGGTGTTTATGGGTTAACAAGAGTGAAATGATTAAGGTCAAGTTAACATCGTCGTACATCGACACACAAACAACTTGCACTGTTCGTGACAGAGTGAAAGAAAATGATTTTCTCTCTGCTGAAAACAATTAATAAAAGACGCAAGAGGGAGAAAATATATATATGTATAGCAATGAAGATGGAAATCAACTGAAAATGACTCTCATACAAATCGTTTTCTCTTCTCTTCGTTCTTGCCATGGGTAAAAAAATCATCAATCCTCATTACCATTATTCTGCACATGTTGAGATGTACAATTGGAAAGAATTCTGCTGGAAATAGATTTACAGACATGTTTTTGTCCTGTCAATCTTTCGTACATTGGACACAATCAGAAGCATTGATACGACCAGAGGTTGTCTTCTGCAGTGAGATCTATAAAATATGACCATGGAGGGAATCTTCGTGCAAAATATGGTGCAGTTCAAGGTGGGAGATGGAAAAAGTTGTCCAAGACTTGTCGCGGTTGAAGATTTTGTGGTCAGAGTGGATCTGTTGAGCATGATTCCACCAGGTAATTGCTCACAAAATACGGTGAAAAGGAGGAATTTTTGCTGGTTGCCCTGAAAGGGGGACTAATACCATTCTTGTATTCTGCAGTGAATGTGAAAAGAGGTGAAAAACTCAATCTCGAATTCACTTGAAGAAGACAAGAAAAGAATTGTGTGAGGAGAAGACGAGGGCAAAAGGGTTAATAGCTAACAGAATTCTCAGCACGTGTCTGTCAATTTTGAGCGGAATAAATCTGGATGGGGACTCGAGATTGAGTTTTTGGAAAGCAACTGTACAGAGAGACTGTTTTTTTTAGCAGAAATCGCTGCACGTGAATTGAGATAATTGACCAAAGTGAGCTCGTTATTCGTCTTCCTTGAGTAAGACGACCACCATAAGTGTCTCTATAAAGTATTAGCTGAAGCCCCGCATTTGTGGGTTTGTGTGTGAGGCACAAAGAGTGAAGGAAATGCGAGATTGCAGGAATGGCAATAAGAATAATTGAGAACGAGAACAAGATCGTCATGGGGGGAATAAAATAAGTGTGGATAAAAAAGGGGGACATGTCCCATGAATACCACTGTTAATTGCACTGGAAATTATGAAATGTATTGCAATTGTACTGCTGCGAGATTGTTAATTCTCATCTCCACTGCTGTGCAATCGAATTCATGCTTGTTTCCTTTTTGTCTCTTGTGCAGGTCGTGAGGATTTATCGCCATCGAGCAGTCTGAATGGATACAGCGCCGATGGCAGCGAGAGCAAGCCGAAGATTAAGAAGGGACCGGCCACGAGGCAGCAGGAGGAGCTCTGTCTCGTGTGCGGCGATCGAGCTTCCGGCTATCACTACAATGCTCTCACCTGCGAAGGATGCAAAGGTGAGAGAGATGTGAAGATTACAGAGGAGGAGAACCGCTCTTAAATTCCTTATCTCCGCTTGTAGGCTTCTTTCGGCGGAGTGTCACCAAAAATGCCGTGTACTGCTGCAAGTTTGGGCACGAGTGCGAAATGGATATGTACATGAGGCGAAAGTGCCAGGAGTGCCGACTGAAGAAGTGTCTGGCGGTGGGCATGAGGCCAGAGTGCGTGGTGCCCGAGACGCAGTGCGCGATTAAGAGGAAGGAGAAGAAGGCACAGAAGGAGAAGGACAAGCAGCAGGTCCCGCAGCCCGTGAGCACGACGGACACGTACAAGACGGAAATTCTGCCGCAACTCATGAAATGTGATCCACCTCCCCATGCGGCGTGTGCCGTGAGGGTAAGTTTCGCCACTATCGCCTTCAGACAAGCTTAAGTCGCTTAAGTTAATCACCCTGAATTGCTTGTGTGAACTTTAGGCACTCCTACCCGAGAAACTCTTGGCTGAGAATCGGGCACGAGGCATTCCATCGTTAACGACGAATCAAATGTCAGTCATATACAAATTGATATGGTATCAGGACGGCTATGAGCAACCATCCGAGGAGGATCTCAAGAGGATAATGCATGTGAGTGTCACTAGAAATTTGTGGCCTGGTGTGTTTTGGGCGAATTGCTAATTTGGGGGGTTTTTCTTGGCAGAGTTCACCGACTGACGATGAAGATCAACATGACGTTCACTTCCGACACATAACAGAAATCACAATCCTCACAGTACAACTGATTGTGGAGTTTGCCAAAGGACTGCCTGCCTTCACGAAAATCCCCCAGGAGGACCAAATCACGCTGCTCAAGGTAAAGTTTTTCCACTCATTGTGTTGTGTGAACTTTAATCAAATGTCGCGCTACTATTTCCGAGAAAAGCAGACAAATTTATCTGGAATTCCGCTGAGAAACTCCCAACTCTCCACTTGATTTCTATCACTCGTGTGTGTGATATTTTCAAGACACAATTCCAGGATGTGGTAAAGCGAAATTCCGTTAGTTTCTGCTGTAAAGTAGTCTGGAAGAAAGAAATCACGAGTGATAGAGTAACTTAATTTCGCCTGACATTTAATTTCAATTTAATTGGGCTGGTGCGCAAGCACAAGTCGCGAAAGAATGGGCGAGCTGTGTTCCCAGGAATTTGTCATTAGTGACGTTGGGGAAAAAGTGGGTTCTTGTGAGGAAGACAAAGAGATTTTTTATTCAAATATCCGCTGGGGGATGTCCAATGCTGGCGAAGATAAAATTCTCATTTGACTCAATTTGTCTTCCCGACAGGCGTGCTCGAGTGAGGTGATGATGCTGCGAATGGCGCGGAGGTACGATGCAGCGTCAGACTCCATCCTGTTTGCCAACAATCGCTCCTACACGCGCGACTCGTACAGGATGGCCGGCATGGCGGACACGATTGAGGATCTGCTGCACTTCTGCCGGCAGATGTATTCCATGACGGTGGACAATGTGGAGTACGCCCTCCTCACGGCCATTGTGATCTTCTCGGACCGACCGGGACTGGAGCAGGCGGACCTGGTGGAGGCCATCCAGAGCTACTACATCGACACGCTGAGGATCTACATCATGAACAGGCACGGCGGCGACGCCAAGTGTTCCATTCTGTTTGCCAAGCTGCTCTCCATACTCACGGAGCTGCGCACGCTGGGCAATCAGAACTCCGAGATGTGCTTCTCGCTGAAGCTGAAGAACAGGAAATTGCCACGCTTCCTCGAGGAGATCTGGGATGTGCAGGATGTGCCGCCGGGACTGCACACCAGTACGCCAGGTGGGGTGCACGCAAATGGTCAGACCACCGGCGGCACAATTGAGCCGGCATAGTAAATGGGCTCCACTCCCGCGAAGAGCGTCCTCGCGAACGTCCCACCTGGCCTCTGTCCCTCCCGCCACACTCACGCGCATGTCTAGAGATATGAGAAGAATTTTATTTATTGTACATAGAGAAAAATTTGTGTAAATGTATTGAATTTTTAATGTTGTTGGCATTATGGAACGATGACAGAGATTCTCTGGCGGGATGAACAGAGGCCGAACGGCGTCGCGCGAGTGAAATGATTTCTCATGATGTTGTTGATGAATAGAATATTATCATGTTGAGTGGAGCCCAATTGTGTAAATTTGTTTTCTCTTATTTTCTCTAATATTCAGTCCAGAAAGTATTGATTGTTGCGCCAATTTGGGAGGCACAGTGGGCGAGAAGAGAAGCTGCTGCCTCCGAAATTGTGCCCAGAGCATTTGACATGGAGAGCAAACTCCAGAAGAATAAGAGGAAATGAGAGTGGTGAGAGGAATGCTGGAAAAGAAGGCTCCTTATCGTTTGGCTGTGACTTGTTATGTAGGAAAGCTATATAATTCTTAAAAGAGATGATGAAAAGTAATTTTAGACAGAGAGAATGACCAGAAAAAACCTATTAGAATTCTAACTATAAAGTATATGGAGAGCGATATTTAAACACTATAAATGAAGGAGAAAGCTAAAATTTTAAGTAAAATAACTAGTAATTCACAACACAGATTTTATCTCTAAAAAAACAATGATGATGAAAAATATGTTTAGGATAATCTATATAATTTTTTTCACTTTAATTTTTGTATACGTCTTTCTTACGATTTATTATCTTTAAGAGAGAGAAAGGGAAAATGAGGAAGAATAACATAGAGGCAAATTGGGGGGAGAGCACATTTGAGAGAGCGACAAAAAAGGATAAATATTGACGAAAAATTGCATCAATTTTTATCAACATTATTCTTTTACGCATCAACTGTCTGAAGTGAGCTGCAGCTGATAAGAGTGTACTAAAGAAAGCGAGAAGATAAATTCACAGTAAAACAATAGAAGAATGACAACACAGTTGAGCCATGCCAACTCGCGTCATAGTGAAACAACAGCAACTCAAAACAGCAACATTTTACAAATAATACAAGTAAAAAAGAGTACGAAGAATTTGGAACGAGGTGCCTTTTGACAAAAAATATATTAATTACAAAAAAAGAAGCTAAAAGTACGCAAGAATTTGGGGTGGAGAGAAATTTGCTGAGTGCGAGAGAAATTTATTTAAAGGGGAAGAAAATCCATATGAGAGTGAAAAATCTACATATGTTGGAGGAGAAAAAATTCTATAATGACTGAAGGGATTGGTGCAAGAATAAATTCAATAAATTATTTCAGACACTATTTAATGCTGTAAAGGGATCCCAAGAGGTGAAAAAACACAGAGAAAAGTCTCTATGAGGAAGATAATTAAGAGAAAAAATAGTGTAGAGAAAGTGAAAAAGGCTGATTGTTTGATATTTTATAGATGAAAAAAAAACCACAAGGAAAATTTTGATATGCGACAAAAGAGAAAAAAGATACTTTTAACACAGATTGAAAAAAAATTCGAAAAAGCACGGCACATGAAATCATTTGGTATAGAAAATTTAGAATTTGGTTGTGTTAAGAATGCAAAGTATTTTGTGGTAATTTTTATTTTTCCCTTTTCTTTTTTTCCCCTCTCTTTGAATTAATCGTGACTCTAGCTGAATTGTGTAGGAAAAAGATAAAATATTCTTTAAATTTTCTCTTTGCACGTGTGAGAGAAATTCGCGAGGGACACGGAAACAAAAAAGTTGAAACACTTTGGAACTGAATTGAGAAAACCGTCCGTTTTAGGAGAAATTTTCTTTTATTTTATGTATACAATTTTATTTTTACCTTGATCATTTATTTTTGTGGCAATCTTGGAGATGGTAATTTTCACAGAACGCGCCAGTAAAGAGAATTGATGCGTGTATAAGAAGAGCATGAGCGTCGAGATACGTCTGAAATTCACCTTTCTATTAAGTCTATACGAGAGATAAGATCATTAAATAGTGAGATACGTAAATTATATTAGAGAAAAAAGTGAAAACAGTGTTAAAAGTTTCAAAAATATATACATAGAGGTCGTATATTTAATATTACGGAAGCAAATTGATATGGCAGAGACAAAGAAAGGAAAATTAAACAGAAAAAATCAAAGAGAGTAAATATTGTTGGGGGAAATAGTGTAAAAAAAGATTTCTAGTGAGATGAGTTTAGTCGCAAAGTCCATAGATTTTGCGACTTTTACCCAAGTCTACGGTGAAGGAAGATGATTCAATGCAAGAGTTTCAATGGATATTAAATGAAATTATGGGGAGACAAATTACATGTTTGGCTAAATAGAAAATGGCAAGATAAAATGTACATAAATTAATATTGAAATTCAGATGAGACAAGAGGCATTGCGTAAATAACTTAAAAAGTCACAAGTGAAGAATTAATTAACACAAAAATATGAATAATTATGTATAAACATAGAAAATATATAATTAACATATTCTAATAGCCATTCACAGAAATCAAGATCTAATATTTATAGTCTTACCATATTTTAAAAGAAGATTTAATAACGGAAGGATGTGAGATGAGCACGCGATAGAATATAGCGTGTCCCGTCGATCCTTATGGCGCATTTCCATGTGAGGTCTCTGCAGAAGTTCCATCTGCAATTTAAAGTCTGTCGAAGCTGTCTTTTAATGTGTATAAAAAAAACCCTGTAAAATCCGTGTTTTGAAGTGAAATTTCAGTTGCAATTTTGATGGTGAACCTTTAACAAGAACAGACAAACAGCATGCAAATAATAGAGTTTAGACTAAAAAAGAAATTTCCAGTAAAATAGTTGAATAAATGCCACCATGCCTTAAGGGGTACCTGTTGCGAAGATAAACCATTGTTGACAAAAAGCATATACGAGAAAAACACAAAAACAGACATGAAACACACTCAGATGAAAATCAAGATAAAAAGCCATCAAGTACCTCACTCTCTTGATAAAAAAAAAGTCTAAATAAACACTAAAATAGATAAAGTAGTAGCAAAGTAGAGTTCATCTGTAACTTCAATGCCGAGAGCGGAGGTGGTTTTGGGGTGTTAAGATCATTTCACCTTTATCCAAGAGGTCATGAAGCTAAAATTGTGACAATTTTCAAATCTAGAGAATCTGTGATTAATGGAAAAATGGCCAGTAGAGCGAAATAATCTATGAAAAATAAAAAGCAATTCTTTGCCTATTTGGAGATAAAATCTCATTCTTAATGGAATCCCTTAAGCAGTAGAATCATCAAATCACACTTAAAATGTTCTCTTGGTGCAGAAGGAAATGTTCTTGAACCCCATTTCTGCAACACTAATATTAATCTCGCTCATTTGATATTCTCCTGAAATTTCCCCCAGAATTGTGAAAATTTCAATGTATTGAATTTCTTTGAACGATTGCGAGTGAATAATTTCACTACACTGCCATCTTATATACTCTTTTTGAAGCGACGAAGTCCGTCGAGATATTAGGAAAAAAAAGCATAAAGATGATAATGACAAGGAAACATACCCAGAACGTGGATTGAAAATCGTGTAAAATTACTTTTACCAGCTGTTAATTGCAAATGGGGAAAAAGATAAGAGGCAAAAAAGTGAGTGTCATAAAAGATTTAAAACTCTATGTGAGAAAAGAAAAAAAACACATTTCAGTGTAAAATTTTACTACAAAGTGCATAAAGTAATTTATTGAGACGAGAAGAACTAATAATGATATATTATGCATAATAGTTGTGTCACATAAGAGCATTTTGAAGATAAAAAAAAATTTCTTACTATACATAAGAGATAGCAAATGAATTAAACAAAAAAGCGTTTAATGTCGTGTCAGTTTTTTCATAATAACATCAAATAGCAACTCTCTCTCTCTTTATTCCCGAGCACACACACATTTAGGAGGAAAAATTAATGACATATTTAAGCAAGAGAAGACATAGAGAAATTACTAAGCTTTTTCGCTTTCAATAGCTAATGGAAAACATTTTAGTGGATAGATTTAAAGAAAAGTGTTAGAGAGAGGAACAATTTCCCTCTCTAAACGATATCGCACAAATTCGTCAATATAGAAGGAAAAGAGAATATGAAGATATTTCGACATAATTCAATACTGTCACCTTTCTTAAACCATTAAGCATGTGAGCAAGCATGTGAATATGTGGAGAAAATCGTTGATTTCTTTTATGAATTGAGAAAAAATAATAATACAATGACACTGCCATGATTTACTAAAAGTGGAAAACGAAGTCTTTCTTCAAATTGCACCGCATAAATTTAGAATTTTTCATAGTAGAAGCATAATAATGACTAAAAATGCGATAGAGACTTATTAAAACTGAATGTTGTAATTATTACAAGAGTAAGAAATCGAAATTAAATTGCATGCATTTTTCAAAATTTAGCATAAACATTGAAATATATTACTGCCACAATTTTTTAGCTTTGGGACTAAATGGTTAAAGTAAAATAAAAACAGAAGAGCAGAAGTGAACAGGAAAAAAAGACGGAAGAGCTAGAAAAACCGTGAAGAGCGGCAGAAAAACTGATACGACTTTTGATGAAATGGATAAAAAATTTGATGATGTAAAAGTAAAGATTACATAAATTGATGTTTGTTCCATTTGACATGGGGTGAGATCTTGAGATGAGAAATCGTAGCAATTCTTTAGAGAAATATTGAGTGAAAAATTTACATTTTAAACCAGTAGATTTTATTGATGAGATAAAAAAGAGAGATGGAAAAAGGTGGTTTTTTAATGAGCACCGTTGAATAAAACTTTTATGAGAAGTTTGGTGATTTGATTTATCACAATAATACCACGATATTCATTTATTATACGCAAAATTTTTTACATGAAAATGAAAAAAAACGATCAAAAGCGATAGAAATTCGAAATTATATTAAAATTAGACGAAAGAGAAAAATTAAAAGACTTAACCCGATCGGGTCCAAATTGGCTTTTCTTTCATGGTCAAATTTGAATAAAAAATAAAAATCTTCTAAAGTGAAACCACTAATTGAATATTACGCGAAAAAAGTCGAAAATAATTTCCTTTTCCTACATGAAAAATAACGGCGAAATTGATTAAAAATTTATTATGAGAGAAAGAATATTAGAAGAAAGACGTTAACGACTGATCACGGTGCTCTTTTTTCACGTCATGGATTGACATAAGAAAAAATTATTAAAAAAAAATGAAGAAATGAACGAGATAAAATTTTCACCACATTATAAAAGAAAAATTAAGGCTTATAATTGTAATTATGGAAAAATTGTCTCGCAAGGCATTATTTCAAATTTGAAAGTGACGCATTGGAAATGGCAATTTTCTCCCGGAACATTTTTTGGCATGTGCAACATGGAAAGTCGTGATCTTAAACTGCCGCAATTATGATGTTGTTATTTACCACAATAAATTGTTGATACTTCGTAGACACGAGATATTTGTAGTGTTAAATTCAACTGCCACTAATTTGATGTTTTCATTTTGCAAAACATTTACGAAAGAACTGCCGAAATTTCTCTGAGCAGCGCAATTAAGATGGCTGAAACTGTGCGGGAAAATTGCAATTTTCATTGTAATAAATTTAATCAAAAAATAATTTTTGCTAAACGAGAAGTAAAGATAAAATAATTTAGAGATCGTAAGAGTGTTTTGTAGTGAAATGATTGAAAAATTGCATAACAATAATTGCACGCAACTTAGTTGTGCAAAATGTGAGTTTCGTGCAATCTGTTTGCAATTGTTCGAAGCAATCTGACAAAACATTCTTGCAAAATTAGATTAGCTTGTTTCTAAATGTGAATTTTATCGACATTTTCCATCATACCATAATTAAAATTGAAGATCTTCAGCCACAACTATTGAGAGGAGAGGATGAGAAAGTGTCTGAAAACAACGATAGGCTCAGCAGAGAGATTTTATGATTAAATGAAGACATGATTTTCTTATCTTCTTTCAGCAATCACCGTAAAAATCCACAGAATCATAGTAGAAATAGTGATAGATATGATGAAAGGTCTCCGCAGAGAGGACAGTAGAAGATAAGGAAAATGGAAAGATTTTTTTCTTCGTTATTTCTTATAGAAAAAACCGAGTATGAAGGAAGAAAAGAATTATTTTAAGGGGTCTAAATACTTCATTCTGAGAGGTCAGATAAACTATCAATGAAGAGGAGAAGAAAATAGAGAAAAGAACATATTTTTTATACAGAAGAAAAAATGATGCAAATGAGAAGGTAATTTAAATGTCAGCATACCTAATCTATAAGTTTTGTAACAAACCCATGTAAAAAGCAAAAACCTCGATAAGTTGCAGTATATCGCTATTTTTTCTATTGAAACTAATTCTTTTCAAATTACTTTGTCAGTAGCCACTAAAACCTCTTAACCGTATAGTGAGGATACGATGTGTAGATTTAATTAACTTTAGCTGTTTTTTATTTGTTGTTATATCCCTTTTTTTTACAACTTACTCTAGTGCTATTTAAATGCAGAAATAGAAGAGTTATTTAAAAAAAACCGAAAGCAACCGACACTTATATAAATAATGAATGAGTGCAAGGAGATAGCAAACAATTCCTCAGTTAAATTCTCACCGAATGAGAGAAGAAGTGCGTGAAGTTGAATGATGATGGCTAAAGGAAGAGAGCATTGAAACCAATTCATTTGTGACTATTCATCTAACACGATAATTTAATAAATTAACAGAGATCATAATAGAAGAGAATCACAGAAAATAAAAATATTACACACAGTTTTAGGTAAGAAAAGTGAAATATAAAAAAGCTGAAAAAATATGAGAAGAAAAATGTTGTAGTGTGGTAGTTGAGAGATTGATTCAGAGTATGAGAAGAGAGAGAAAAAATATAGAGAATAATAATAATATATTATAAAAAGAAATAGATGAAAATACATATTAAAGATGAAAAAAAGTAATAGAATAATGTACGATAACACAACACAAAAATGGAAGAATTAAGTGAATATTGTAATGAAGATATAATATAGAAAAGATGAAAAGTATATAAATTAAAGATGAGATAATATGAAAGGAAAGTAATTAACAGATGAATTAAAATAGAAATTATATATTGGAGTGTGCAATATGTACAAATTTTACTTTTTTATAAATATTGTATAATAGACATGGAAAATATATTATCAATTATTATTACTGATGATGATAAGCAGATGATGATGAAATATATAAGAAAAAAAGATTTTAAACCTTAACGGAGTGCATTTTTACTTGACAATTACCAGAATTGGTGCTCTTTTGATCCCATGAATGTTGATTATTTGATAGAAAGCAGTGTGAATTTTCTGATTTTCCATAGTTTGACGAAGAAATTCTGATTCAGTGTGTCTCCACTAGTATTTACCGATTCGAGGAAGGTGTCTCGACTAGTGTTCTTTCCGCTCACCTGATGTTGTCTCTTTTGTCGCAGAGCAAAGTCTGCGGGTGTGAAGAAGACGTCTACTGCTCGGTGTCGGCGCTGCGCGGCTAGTCTTCTCTGTTCCGCTTGAAAATTGAGGAGCCAGCAGAGGACAGGCTCCGCCCCGAGTCCCCCAGATTCGGCGCGAAGTGTCGCAAAAAGTGTCTCTCTCGTGCTCTCTCTCGGCCCGACTTGCCGCACAGCGAGCACAGTCGCCGAGAGACCGCAGTGGATGAGCCACTCCGAGGCATGGAATCACGCTGCCGGGCATTTTTCAGCAGAACCACTTTATCAATGTGTAGACATTTGGAGTGATTTGCAATTATACTTGATTGTGTCGCCCAGAGAGCTGTATTGCCAGTGTAATCGCGATGACAAAGTTGAGTTTTAATTTTCCATTAGCTTGTGAACCTCTTCGCTGTCCTCGCGGCCACACAGCCGCTCAACTTGGGCCCTTCGCCTCTTGTCTTTGGTAAGTCTGGCGTCTATTTTTGAGCTAATTAATTATTCATTGAATGAAAATATAGCCGATACAATGATCAATTGAGGCCCGCGACTTCATGCGTTTTTTCCGCCTTCGGCCAGCGGTCGCGCGAGCGGGACGGTGATGGTGGTCGCGAGAGGGATGGAGAAATCATTCGCGTCAATTAAATAATGTCTCCAGATTGACTTTCTTATGTTGCGCTCTCTTCTCGCCATTCTATTTAAATTAGATACCATCTGGGAGATATTTTTCCTGACCGCACAATTGCGGCGCATTAACCGTCCGCACACAATGTCCCCTCAATTCGCGTCCAGATTGGCGAATATCGCACACGTGAAAGTCGCCCCTGGACACACCGAGTCGCACGGTGGCAAGTTGAGAAATTGGGTGATAAAATCCTCTATCAATGGGGCATTGTGATTAATTGGTGGGATTTCAACTCCAGTGCCTCCTTTTCGCGCTATCGCGCTGCTCAATTGCATCGCCGAGGGGCCGCCGTGGCGTCCATTCAAGACCAAGAAACCCAATACACATTCCCACAAATTCCACCCAACTGATAAGGAGCTCTTTTTACGATTATTGATTAGCTTACCTGAATTATAATGCCACTCATTTCACGTCCACTGAAAAATCATGGCTGTATCGGGTGATTTTCAGTCCTTCTCAACACACAACGCACTGAAAATATATTGCTCGAATTATTATAGAATATAAAAGAGAAACTGGAACGGAAAGTGTTTTGATTCCGCTTGTTAACCCTTTGAAGGTTTTCCTTGGTGTATTTTGCCTGTACAAAGTCCACTTGTTCTATTAAATATTAATAATTTTCTGCAGAAAACTCAGCGACTTCACTTTTGCACTGCTGTATGAATTTACGGACTACATAAATTTTCTTTGGTGCTTCTAAAGATGTGGGAATCAAACAATTTTTATGATAATCCCTTTGAATGTTGATAAATTCATGGCATGGAGCTCTTGATAGCATTTCTCGGCAAACTTGAATTAATTTATTCTGGTGAGAGATTAAAAATTCAGAGAAGATTCTAAATCGCAGACCTCATTTGCGTGCTGGACCCATGAAGTTTGGTCTTGTTGAGAAATTAATATTGATTCCAATCGAGTGAATATCTCTGAAAATACACGTGAAAAAAGAGTCAAACCCACGAGAAATCTCATGAGAAGAAGAAAAAAGAGTCTCAAGAGAATTCTTCTTTTTCCACCTTCGTTCCATTTAGAACGCGGTCGGGAGGGAAGGTAGAAAATATTGAATTTTGAAGCGATATCCACTATGTGGATGGTGAATCAAGGAAAAAGATATTTGATTACTAAATTACTTATGCACAGAGCGACAAAACTTGTGGAACAAGTTTTACACTTAATTTACAATTTATATAAAAGTCTCCACATGTATTGCTTTTTCATATCTTTCTCTCCTACCACGAACTGATCTTTCTTCGGTGTAGTTCTTGTGTGTGTTTTTTTTTGTCCACGATCAGAAAGGAGTGATATAGGAAAAAAAGACTGTCGGTGTGAATGTGTGGAAGTTAATAAAATATGCTAATTTCTCAAAAAGGAATGAAAGGTGCGTGCGATTGAAATTTTCTTCTCTTTCAACATTCATGACGTAGAAATTGCTCGTCAATATTGCCTTCCTCCGCGGCTGCCACACATGAAAAATGGGTGGTTGAATTTGCATTACTGCCACGACATTCTGAGCCACACTTGGAAGTGCTTGAAAGGAAGTAAAGAAAACAGACGAATTTTTAATCAAATACGCTATAAAATCGAGCATATTGAATTTTTTTTTCGCCCTGAAAACTGCCGTGTCGCTGTAATTGATCACTTTTCTGGGCTGAAACGTACAATTGTCGCACCCTTTGTCGCGGTTAGAGGAATGTTAATAATGGTAGCTCTGGAGGAGATGATCGCGGAAAGGTGTTGAAAGGAATTAAGCACGCTGTCCCGTAAGGATGTCGACGAGGTGGCTGAATAAAAAAACAGAGAAACAGAGGCGAGCAGCTTCTGAATTAATGAGGAATTAAGTAAATTGAGTAGCGGATGGGACATAAAAATTTCAAGTGTGCACAAGTACAAGTTGTCTCGGTGGGTCTTTGCCATCGCCAATCGATGGCATTGGGCGATAGTTACAGGTGGTTTAATATTCCAAAGTGAGTGACGCGCGATAAACCGCGATGTCGATGGTCTTCCTGCAATGCAGCACTCACACACACGGTGCGCCAAACTGGGTATAAATTGTCCGTCAATCGATTACAAAACATTGTGAATTAACTCGCCATCGTGGTGTACAAGTTGATCACTTGATCATCGATGGCCAGTGGAATTGCTAAAGTGGAATGTGGCTGAAACAATGCGGTCTCCTCCACAGTTCAATCCGCAGCGGAGAATGAGAAAAGTCCTCTCTATTAAATGGTTCAAGAGTGGGCGATGATTTAATCGCTGTGCGCGGTTTTTTCTTCACACTTCGTCTTCTTCTCTCCTCTCTGTTTTTTCCATTCTGCCTTCCTTTTAATATTAATAGAAAGTGTTACGAAACATGATTATTTTGTGTCGTTTTCACTCACAGAAAAGGCGCAGAAATTAAATAAACACACAAAATGAGAGCTGCGAAACTTTTTCAACACCGCATCTCGCGCCAGTATTGTCCATAAAGAGACGGATTTTATGTCCCATCGACAGCACAGGGTGAGGGTGACGATCATGCCCAGTTGTACTTCTTTAGGTCATTTCGTACACTCGTGATACAACACTTTGAGACACATTTGTGTCGTATAGAAGCGAAACAGCTCACGATCTCTCGTCTTCTTTCTGCCAATGCGATAAAGTTCTCGGGCAATGAGGAAAAACCGTTCACAAAGGATCGTAAAACTCTCTGCCCTTCTCGCACGACATAATTTCGCGCCTTATCAGAGGTCTGAAAGGGCACTTTCGGTGCTTATTTACACTAAAAATAGCCCACACAAACTCTGGGGGAGTCTCGGCAGAGGAAATTGCCCGAGAAAGCATGCAAACAATGAATAAGTAATTTTGTGAATCACTTTGCAATCAACCCTTGAGCGATATAGTATTGCTCACAAGCTACAAAGATTGTCAAACGCAAGTATTTGGTGTCTTTGTCTCCTCTTCCCCAAGATGGCAAATAATTGTGTCACACACTCAATTATCATATTAAAACAACTGCTTGTGAACACAATGGCATAGAGTAGCGTATCGGGAGAGGCCAAATATAAGTATTTTCAGCAACTTTTCCACTATTCGTAAAATATTTCTGTGTGGCGATAAATATTGAAGCATTAGAAACTGTGATACACTTGCGCCTGGGAGAACATTTTGAAATTCGAAGGTAAATGGCATTGCTCGTCAGACAACACGTGTTTGATAAAATTAGTGTTGCTACCGGGGGAGTGTGACTGTTACAATTTAAAAGCTGCTCTGTGTGGGAAATGTGTGAATAGTTGGGTGGATTTCGTGGAAATGTTTCACAAGAAATTCCCATATTAATATATTTTCGTAATTTGTGACTCTCACGTGACAGCATCTCTAAGTGGTTATTAAATTCATTTGAGAATTATCATATTTTCCACATTTTCGAGGGCATTTTTATTGTTATTCTTTAAAGATTGCACACTAAATGTTTGAAAATAGAAGAAAATCTGATATTCAAATAAGGTTTCATGTATCAATTGGGGAATTGTAGTTTATTCTGTCGAAACTAGAGATTCAAGTGCTCCCGTTTTAGGCTTATGTGTACCGCATTTAGGGACTTGCACTAAATTCATTTTGTAATTAACATTCCCAGTCAAACTAATGACCCGTTAGACGAGTATTGTTGGCTTCATTGCAAATCCCTAAAGTCGCTGCTGAGCCATCGAGCAAGTCAAATGACCATAAACTTGAAAAGATCTCGCATGAAGCTGCAAAATCACGGGTAAAGTTGCTCTAATGTCTTAATTGCGCGAGATCGCGAGGAGCAGGCCGCCAAAGAGAGAGAGATTCCTGGGCCACACTTCCACCCATCGAGACTGTGTCTCGGGCGGGGATTCTTCATCTCTGGCGCGCGGAGACCAGAAGAAAGCAAACCACGTATTCGTCACCAAAATGACAAAATTACAGGGTGTGACAGTTTATAAATAGCTCGCGCCACTTATTATACTTCTGTTGGGCTCTGTCGCGCGTGTTAGAGACTTCCACGTTGTCTTCGTTGGCGTTGGATCCGGCGTTCCGTTGGACTCTCTCTCGGGAGGATGGGTGGCTGCGAGATTCCACGTCTCTCTCGCCTTCATGATTTTTGTCAT